CTTTGAGCCCTAGGACAGAAAAGTACTTTGCGCCCGGAGGGCGCAAATGGTAGTTTTCCTACGAGTTTGAAAAGTCTCTGTTTGCGAACCGAGAGGTTTGCGGCCCGAGCCGAAGGCGAGGGACGTAACGAGGTTCGTAAAGGAGACTTTTCGAACGAGTTCCGGAAAACTGCTTTTTCGCCCGAGGAAGTACCAGCCTCACAAAACCACCCGTGGGCGGAAAAAAACTTTTTTATTCGTAGGCCCAAGGAGTTTTTAAGATTGCAAAGTGTGACCTGAAGGCGCACAGTGGCAGTTGCACTATGGGCCCATGGTAAGAAAAATTAGTAGTTTTCGTCGGATAAGTGCCATTGTCTCTGGGGCTATTTTGCGGCCCAAAGGATCTGCGAAGCAGGGACCGAAAAACATTAGGTAGCCGCAAAGCGATGGCGCTTGTGTGGTAAATCCTATTTTTCCTACCGAGGGCACACCCGGCCCTCAAAAACGCCCGAGGTCGGAAAAAATATTTTTATGTCAACAATACTTCTTTGAATACGTTGATGTTTGATAAAAAAATTTGATGATAACGCTGGAATTCATCACGAATATTGTTAGATTTTTAAAATTGCCTGTCAGACAAAATTTTTTTATTTTTATTCATACTTTAAATTTGAATGAAAATGTTTTTTGGATTGGTGTATCAGAATGAAGCTACAAATGATTGGCCATGAGTAAAAAAAGGATTTTTACAAATATAATCCTACAGAATGAAAACTTTGGCCCTGTGATCTATTCATTGTCATAGAAAAATCGAAAGTAATTGTACTTGTTTTCTATGTAAAATAAACAGTAAACAAAAATAATTCCTAGTATTTAAAATTATTCTAGGTATAAATATTATTTGCCCTCCGTTTTCACCTGTAATGATTTCAGCCTTAATATTATCCTTCAATATGTTTGTTATGCGTAAACGAGTTCCATTACATCATTCGTCTATTATACTTAAATTTCTTATTAACATTACTACTTAATTTGTTTTTAATTTTATTTCATAAGGTAATAAGCCTCCATAGATTGCATTTTAAACTTTAACTTGAAAAATTAACTGTATATCATCGCCAGATTCATCTGTTCTTTTAGCTTTGGTAAGATGTAGCAGTTTCTTCCATACTATTTGATATTTTATCGTTTAATAATTAAAAGCATTCGTTATGTGATGTTAAAATGACTTCGTGAATGGGAAAAATATTTGTTTGATAAAAACTCAACTTTAAACATCTTTTGTTTTCTATTCATATAGTATAGTGAACCAATAAATTTTACTTTTTTCTAAATCTAATAAAAACAAAAAAAATTTTTTTTTACTTTTGAAGTAAAAACTTATTTAGCAGCGTTATACACTTTTTTAGGATGGTTAAAAATGTTAAACTTGCATCAGGACACGTGACCTGATCGAAAATTTGTAAGACGAAAGGAAAAGTAAAAGGAAAAAAAAAAAAAAAAGTANCCACCAAATCATCTTGCCCATTGCCTATCACCGCCCATAAAAACAAAAAAAATTTTTCATTCAGTGATCTTTCATTTTTTTAAACTTAAAAATAATTAAGTGTTTGCATGAATAAGAGTACTGGATTGTTTCTTAGATAGTTAGTGATCTAAAGTCATTTTTTTAAGCCGGTAACATTTATCAGAAACCTCTGCCTAATATTATTGTTTTTCTCCAAAATGTAAATCATTATCACACAAATCTTGTATCGTTCAATCTTCTATTGCTAAGGCTTTTTTGGAATTATTTACAATATCGACTTTTCAATATTGTTTTCTTCGAATTCATGTTCTAAAAATTCTGTTTTAAAGTTATTTGAATCACAAGGTAGTCTAAAAATTGTGTGACTTGTTATATCTTTTGGTAACAAAATAGAAGCAATTTCCTTCTAACCCCTCACAGTTTTTAGGAAACCTCTATAGACCCTCACCAACCACCAATTTTTAATAGGTATTTCAATCATACTATTGTGAAAGTAGAATTCTACTACATGATAAAATTACACTAATGCATTATGCAATTCATAAACCGTTTAAATATCTAAATCCTAGTTCTTGCCGTTAGTCTTACTTACCAAAAGGCAATCTATTTTTTTTTCTTTGTTGTTTCGAAGCAGTTCATGTACTAAAACAAAAAAATTTTTTATGACCTACTTAATTATAAATCCAAAATTTATACTTTGAAAAGAAAAATTTTTTTTGCATTTTAATCTTGACAACATTGTTAGAAAGACTTGAAAGAAAAATTATTTAGTAAAATTTGTGTAATAAATACAATTTAATCAGATGAAAAAAAAATCTTTCAAAAATGCATTTTCTATGTTTAATTTATCACTACGATCAATTTGAATGGATAATTCATTTTTACTTTTTTTATCTTTACAAAGTAACGTATAATTGACCATGCAATAATAAATTTTTATATAAATACAAAGCAACTTTGTCAAAACTCTGGCTTTGGAATTTATTAATATATTATTTATGGTCATTAAAAATGAGAATACATGAAGAAATTGCATTCAGTACAGAACACATCTCCAATTTCCATCAATAATTATGAAAATTCTAGGTCATTACAGCGAATGTTGATACTTTATTTTACTGTATGAAGATATGACCAAAGAAACAATAGTTAAATAAGTTTAGATATAATCATATTTCTATTACTATTTTTCAATACTATCAAAATTTGACAGAAATCTCCACCTAAAATTATTAATTTGTTTCCAAAATGTACGTCTGTGTTACATAAATCACAAAAAGGTCTGTCGACCGCTTCTAATACTTTTTGGAATCATTGAAGCTTTATCCTAAAATATTAAATTTACTTCTATTAATTATTTTCTTTCCAATTTTTAATCGAAAAATAAACTGTCAACATTATTTAAATCTAATGGTAAACGAAAATTTCTATGACTGGTCATCTCTGTAGGAAGTAATATTGAGGCAACACGAGTTCAAACAATCTAAGAAATTGATTTAATAAGAGAAATAAAGCAATACTATTCTATTCTATTTTTTCCATTTTGAAAATTTTATTTGATCTAGATTTAATTTACCGTAGATATATTTACACATTTCTGTACAAAATACAATTTCATTAAGATTACCATTTTCCTCATATTTAATATCTTTCGAAATCGGTTAACTTAACTATTTACAAGATTTATTTTTTACACAAAAATTCGATTTATGTGTAAAAAAGCACTATTATGTTTATCATTATACGATGTTAATCATCTATAGTATCTTCACTTAAATGATCTTCATATTTTTTCTGAATTTTTTTACGTTGTATACTCTCCAAAGTTAAAAACCACGCGAGAAATTTCCGGAATTAATATAGTAACATGACAGTACTAGCTTTTTAAAATATATCATTAATTTGTGATTTATAATTAATTAATCCTATAGCTCAAAAATTAAGTTGAAGATAAAACTTATTATTTTTTTGTTTCTTCTAGAGGGTTGGTACAAGGAGCACGCAGGGGGGTGGAGCCTCACTAGTAAATGTATATGTGTGTGTGTGTGTGTGTGTGCGTGTGTGTGTTTATGAGTGATTATACCTCACACTAAGTCAATACACTTAAATATAAAAAAATGTACGTACATGAAGGTAATACAAAGCAATGTAAGAAATAAAGAGAGAACTTAAAAAAAAAAAAACATTGCCTTTAACTTTAGAGGGAGTCCTTGTTTGGATTGTGCACAGTAGTGTTCGCAGAACATGTAACTAAAACTGAGACACAAATGGAAAAATGCACCAATCAATAATGAAAATTTGAAAGTGTACAACAAAATTAACAAATGCAACTAAAATTCACTTGAATCCTAAACAGAGCAGCTAAACTATTAGTATGATACTAAAAAAAAACGGAAGCTAAAGAAAATGCAGAAAAAGACATGAATTAATTATTAAAATAATAAAAAATTATTAATTTTAATTCTTCTACATAAATATAATTTTCAAGCATCGCACTGGGTACCAATTTTAAACTTTGTGCCAGTTGGGATTGCCTGCTGCTCGCTGTCTTCTACAACTTACTACAGATACTAAAATAAATTGTAGTGTATAAGAGGCACTGCGTGGCTGTTCGGAAGCATTCACTCAGCCCACTAGACCATCAGCTATTACTGAGTCTTTGTTCACTTGTTGACACCTCTTTACATACGGCAGTGAAAAGGACTAGTGCAAATCAAATTAATGTTACTGTATATCAATATTGAGAACTAGTTGCTTTCTCTTAGCCATTCATGTACACTCATTTCCATGTATTTTGGCTCTATCGTTTCGGGACTAAATAAATCTGATGCCATCACACTAGCCACCAAATCATCTTGCCCATTGCCTATCACCGCCCAGCCATACACAAGATCTATTGACAGCACGGACTTCAACAGATCCAACTGGTATGACTTACTTGGTGGTTATAGTTAGAGAGCAAGGTGAGCCGGTAGCGAGCTAGAACAAGTAGATTTTGTTTCCTCGGTCTTTGGAAGACAGAGACACAGGACATGGACAGACAGTGGGCAAGAGCATGTACAAGACAGAGATAACACAGAGAAGTTGTGGTGTTAACATACAGTAATGTTTATTTGAATTTACACTGCTCTAGTCACTGACATTTGGGCCACTGATATTTCCGGGAAGCCACGCAGTACATCTTATAAACTAAAAATTCGTTTGAGTACTCATGGTGAGCTGTCGCCACTTAGCGAGTGGTAAGTTATACCATCAGGCGCAAAGTAACATTGAGCTCATCGAAGTCTGACACTTCTATTTTGTTTTTAATGACAAAGCACCTTTTAACTTAAAAAACAATTAACTGCATTAAATTTACAGATATCTTTTACAGTGTATGTTCTGACAATGCAAAACTTTGTTGTCACCGATCACTGAAAAATTATTACAAAAAATTAAATCGAAAATTTCAAAAGTTTTATTTTACTTTACTTGTTCATTTTATTATACTTACAACAAAGACACTCCAAGTATTTATTAACTATTTTCTGTAGTAGCATACAAGAAGATTCTATATTCCGAAAAAGTTCTAATTTTGAATCCAATAAAGTATCAGATGAAACAATGCATTCATCTTCTTTTTTCCCAAACTTACGGGTAAGAGTTTGTTTAGTCATCCAAAACTGATGCTGCATATTTTTGAATCTATAGATAAAAACAAAATACCATTATAACAAAAAATTGTATTACACAGCATCTAATAATGGCAAAATTTGTATTATAAAACTATCATAAAAAAGCTTTGTTTTTTAGAGTATGTAAGTTATAACGAGCCAGATATTTAAGTTTGAGTACTATAATCATATTTATTAATCGTACCTATTATTTAAGGGTATGCTAGATAATTCCGTGACATAGAATTTAAATATTAAACTCTTAAGACATAAAATATGTTATTCAACAACAGAATATATGTTTTGCTGATTTTTTTATACACTTTCAAAACATACTTAACAGAACTACTGATATAAAGAAAATAGGAAATTGGCAAAAATCTGGTATAGTATTCTAAATTCAAGAATGATCTAGAAAGTGTACATTCTTTGTACAGTAAAAATACTGATAGAAATTGGGTTATACTATTCTTGTTTCAAGTTAAATTTTGTGCCATTCAATTAAAAAAATATTTGAATTTTTTCTATATATTTGATATTTTGATAAATATTTATGGGTAAAAATAGGTAAACAACGGCAGTTCTGGATTACCCCCTAGTTTCTCCCAGATTAATAGTAAAGGAAAAGCTTGAGCTAGGTCAGTGACTAGTTGTGAGTTAGAGAGAGGTTCGCGACATTGCACAATCAAACGGCGGGAGAGGAGTCATCTCGTGCTATTCCACAATTGGGTGAAGGTTGGCGATATGGGGAGAGAATCGTGTTATCAGGCGGTGGGAAAGAATGGCTTTCTGCTCATTTAGATAGAACCTTCCTCTATGGGTGGCTCTCATCCTTTTCAACTACGAATCTAGCTCTGATGTCAGGATGGTCCCTAGGTTCACGGGCTACTTGAGCTGACAAGCCCCATGTACATCGAGGAGAAGATAATCAAGCATAAATAAGTATTTCTGATCAGTAGATGATTTTTCCCTCTTATTATTTAGGTGTTCTGTACGCCAGCGTAATATTTTTGAATTTTAAAATAACTGCCAGTATCAGTAATGTTAGCTTAATTAATGGTTTACTAACTAGAAAACATTTGAAATTTTTTTTTTATAACTATTAAGCGTATTTAAAATAGTTTCGTATCTGGTTTAGTGCTATTTTTCACCAAAAACTAAAGTCACAATGCAATCAGTAAAAAAATTATTATTTGGTAAAAACTGTCGAGAAGTATTGAGAAACCTTAAATGTCGATGACATAATCCATGTATAACTTCATTTTATTTTGCAGTTTAGATGTGTTCTATTTACTGTTAAACAAATACGTACACAGGCATTAAATAATTAATCGTGATTATTTAACTTAATCATCTAGTAGAAACTGGATGTTTGTGGATTTGGGTCTTACGCTCCCTGACAAGCCACGGGACTAGTAGACTGTCTAACTGTTTATTTGGATATCGGGGAAAGGAATAAAAGAGGCTGTTAGGCTTTATAAATTTTATGTATCAACGTACCATTTCTTTTTGCAGATTAAATTCTGTTTGATTCTTCAGTACCACTTATTTTGATATTATTAATTTTAATTGCTTTTAACTAATGAAATACTCTGCACTGTTTGGTATACTCATTCTTTTTATTTAGTTTTACAATGAATTACAATGAATTTCCCAAGCAATTGTAATAACTTAGATTGAAATATTGAACTAATAGTTAAGATGCACACTCAATGAGCGGTGAAAAGCTACTAACTAAAACGCCGCGTGAAGAAATGCACCTTGCGCAAAGCTTTAGTTAAAACTTCTTTGTCTTACATAATATGGGGCCGGTACTCGCTGATTTCACGTGCTTAGACTTAGCAGCTCGCTTCAGTTGTCACTTGACACTTCCGAAACCCACTAAGTACACAGTCAGCTTTGTTAGGTGACGACTTTCGTTAAGTATGACTCTTGAAAGTCTTAAAATTTTATCATTGACGGAATGAATGTAATATAAAACAGAACAAAGTAAAAATTTATTTATTTACGCAAGTTTTCACTTAAAAGCCTTCCCTTCTTAGAACTATTACCGTCCTCAATGAATAAATATAATTTAATACAACCTGAAGGAAAATAAAAGTAGATCGTGGTAAACTGAGTACTTAAAATAAATAGAGAAAAAATTTTCACTCTTCACCTTTTTTTTTATAAAATCATTTCAACCTTATTAGTACAAATTCCTTGGCAATAATCTTTAATATACATATTGAGACTATAAAAAAAACAAGCGTGAGAAGTCTCGGAACCCCTGACAGAAGTGAAGCTGCCTCATTTATGTAACAGCAAAACATTATCCGACATTAATTGTACCAATAATGTCTGTAGGTACACACATACGAAATGTGTTAAAAAAATAACAAGAATTTTCGTTTTATGAAAAAAATATTTATTTATTCATCAATATCTATTTTGTCCCCTTAAAAATAATCCCCCTCGGATATAATACACTTGTGCCAACGCTTTCTCCAATCCTCGAAACACTTTTGAAACTCGATCTTTATAATAGCTTTTAGCTCTTTCAGCAATTCACTTTTAATGTCATCTATGCTTGTAAAACGACGACCTTTTAATGTTCTCTTTATTTTTGGAAATAGAAAAAAGTTACATGGAGCCATATCTGGCAAATATGAAGGCTGAGGCATCGTTACAGTTTCGTTTTTGGCCAAAAATTCACGAACAAGCAATGAAGTGTGAGCAGGTGCATTGCCGTGGTGCAAAAGCCATGAACTGTTTTGCTACAAATCCGGGCGTTTTTTTCGGATTGCTTCACGCAAACGGCGTTGAACTTGTGGGTAGTACTCTTTATTGATTGTTTGACCTTATAGCAAGAATTCATGATGCACTATGCCACTTTTTTCACGTTTTCATCGGTTTTTGATGTACTTGGGCGTCCGGGTCGTTCGTCATCTTCAACGTTTTCGCGGCCATCTTGGAAACGCTTATACCACTCGTAAATCCTTGTTTTACTCATAGCAGACTTACCAAATGCCTTTGTTAACATTTTTACAATCTCAACGTACACACGCACTCGCACGAGTGCGCAGCACGAGTTGTGAGTCACGTGTGTAAATCAAGGTCTTTAGAGCCACAAAAGATGGCTCGTAATCAAGGTCTCCACGCACGGCATGTCGAAGTAAAATTTTTGTGTTAGTATTGTAAAAATTACTGCAGAGTACGTTTGGCACTGTTTAAAGTACTTTGGCTCTTTCTTGATCCACATTTTGACTGGTTCTGACTACAGTTGAGCACTTATGTGTATTTCTATGATTATCTAATTTAAAAAATGAAAATATACGTTTATGATAACTGAAATGATGCGTATACTATCAATGTAATGTTTATCTAAAAGTCTTGCAAAAACTGCAATAATAGTTGTCCCTAACAGTGTTGTAGAAATCTGCAAATCTGTAATTAATCTTAATTGAAATTTATCAAAATGTGTATGTGTGTGTATGCACTGTACACACACACACACACACACACAAATGTAAACAATGTAAATATAACTTGCCGCAGAAGTATACAGTACGACGTAGTAATACGAATTTAAAGTCGGTAAGAGATCAGAGAAGGCCTTCGAGACGGCAAAACTCGACCTTTTCAGAGCTCGTACGACCAACTCTGAATACTACAGTAGCAGCAGCAGCAGCAGTACCAGCTATATATTTGTATACACACGTTCCGCTATTGCGGTGCGGAGCGGAGTGGGGGAAGCATGTCAGTCGTTTTAAATTTGTGACTTTTTGCCAGCTCACTTCCAGCCCCAGATTGCTCCATAAGAAGCTTCGCTTAAAAAAATTTATGACAATAAATATATTATATGTTTATATGTTCTTCTTTCTCATTTTTTTTTGTAATATAATTCGTATTGGGTTGATGGTTTGGGCATTGGATGATAAAATGATTGTAATAGGTTGGATGATAGTTATGTGAGTTACGTAGCAAATGCCATGTATACATTCTTTCGATCATCTCTCAAAGCTTATAGTTTCATATAACTAATACCATTGAGTGGGCAAAAAGTAATTAGATATTTGGTTCACTCGTTGGTCGTAATCACGACCAGTACTTTCATTATCAGCCTTGGTGGTATATTTCCAGTCGTGCTACTCAAAGTGTCTCCAACTAATGAAATATTTGTTGTAGTTGTGGTTGTTATTCTGTTGGCGATGGCAATAGGCTTCTTTTTGTTGGGTTATAATGCAATGTATAACTATCTTTTGCTATGCCTCAGCTTTATATTTCGTACCATATTTGACAAAAACAGGTAAAATGATTTTCCCGTCTGGAAGTTTGTTGTAAAAGTAAATATCTTGTACACCATACGGATATTCTAAGAACTCCATCAGGTATTTAGTATCATATCATTTTCTTATTAGGACATGAATTTCCCTATTTGTACGTTTTACTCGTATAAAGTGAAGAATAGGTATTTCTTCATCTTCGTCGCATGTTCTGAACGCGATGTTTTTATCTTATCTAGACTATAATGGTCTAGATATAGGCAGCTGTTGTTTGATTGACGTTTTTTCTGCCATTGGTATATTTTAGAGTGCTTCGTTCGCAAACCCTTTAGGAGGTACTAATATTCTCATCTCCTCTCTTACGGTATCAATCGGCATCGATTGGGAACCCATCATCAATGATTTAGCTGCATCAGTGGCTTCTAACGGTGTGTAGTATATGGCATCGTAACTTATGTATGGAGCAACGCAGGGCTTTTCTTGTAAATCTTAAATCGTTGCGTATCGTTGAAGCAACTATTTTAGTTATAGTTTGTTTAAAGGGCTTTTTATCATAAGGTTTGGGGAAGATCTACTGGCGATGGTGTCAATTATCTTGGCCATTTTGTGTAACATATAAATATAAGTATGATGGGTGTTATGATAATTATTGATAAATACTCTATATGTATGTGTACTAGTGTAGTGTATTTCATACTGTTAATAATTAGAATGATTCGTAGGTTATATGTGAAATGAAAATATGAAAATCAAATAATGTTTACAG